GAAAAAAGTGGCAGCCATTTTTATGCAAATGAAGCGGGGGGGATTTAAATCCCCGCTTCATTTGCAATTGCGATGTGTTTAATTTGCATCCCATTTACGGAAAAGGGATGCAGTCTAGACACAGCCCTAATGTATTAAGAATTGGAAGGTTCTTCATACACTTAAAAGGCTGATATGCAGCACTGGGGACCCAGTATGAGCTGGGATAGCTGATTCCTGGTACTTCCCGCTACACTTCTGCTTTTTAAATGTATTAAGAGTCTGTTGACTCTTAATACATTTAAAAAGCAGAGGCATAGCCTCTGAGGCTGGGCGCAAGCCGAGAATCAGCTGTTTCCCAGCTTGTATCTGGACCCTACTAGCCTCTGCTTCCCCTGACCCCCATGGAGACAGTACTGGGGAAACCAGCTTTTAAACTGGCTCCCCTCAGCACTGGCTCCTTCTCCCCCCGCTTGTTGCCTCTGATTGAGGCAGCAGGGAGGGGGGGAAGGGAGAAGTGACTAGCTGAGGGTCTAGTTGACTGTCCAATAAGCTTATGCTTATTAGTTGACTAGTTGTTTACATCTCTAATCCACTGCCCAGTATTCAACAACTGAACTCTTCAGAATGAGAACTCAGACTTCTTTCAAAGTTGACAGAAATAAGATATCTCATTTGCTTGTGCCTGCAAATACATTGTATTACTTAAATATAATCCTCTTCCTTTAGACGTGTTAAGAAATAAAAAAGTAAAAGGTGTTTTGTAACGCATATCAGTTTCTTTACTTTATCTGAAAAACACATGTTGATTTCAGTAGTAGTCTGTGAATTAAGATGGATAATGTGTTCTTAGTTACTCCTGAACAGTTTGTGTTTTCTGGTTTTATTATGACAATGAAAGGCGCTAAAGTTCTGCATCTTAATTTTTTTTTGTTACAATTAATGGGGACACGTTGTTGGCTTTTTTTTTATTAAGTACACAAAATAATTTACGCAGAAAAACTAAGAACTGATTTTTCTTTGAGGCTTTAAATATTTAAAGTGTCTTTGCAGACGTGGAGTTTGGGAATGATGACGTGATCTAGCGGAATGAACGGGATTGTGTCAGGATTTTCTAGTCTTGGCTCTGCTACTGACTTGCTCTTTGGCTTTGACCAAATGAAGTGACTTCTTTGCCCCATCTTCCCCTTCTGTAAATGGAAATGTTAATGCTGTCCTCACAGAGCTGTAATGAAGTTACACACTTTATATTTTAAAAGTATTAAGTGTGAGTACTCAAATAATTGTACCAGATATTGGCGGGGGGTTAAGATTTATTTATTTTGGCTCAGAGAATGCAAGTTTAACTTTAAATTTACTAGATTACAAACTTGTATTCAATTGATATTGTTTATTATAACATTATCTTATTCTCTCTGATAGGAGTTTCTACTGCTGACAACTCAGAGGAGCTTGCAGACATAGTATGGAGCTCTAGTGGCAGTGATTTGTCAGGTGATGAGAATAAAAAATCGATTTCAAGGTTGTATAACCAAAAGAATCATGTTTCCAAAGCCCAGAAAACTTGCAGCAGTCATAACTTACTGTTAGAGGACAGGAGTAGTGAAGGTGAGTTGAAATGTTTTGCAAATCCTTTTTTGAAAGAAATCCTGGGTTTGCTGAATTTTAAATACTTTATGGAGAAATAATTTGAGGTTCTCTGAACCTGCTCTAATTGAAATTGGTGGAAAAGTTCCCTCTAACTGCTGTGGGAGCCAGAATTGGCCTATACAGACTCAGCAAAAATGGACTATACACAAGTATAAAGTGTGGGATGAAGGGGGAAGGAATGGTTGAGGATAATAGCTATTCAATACAAATAAAACTATTTATAATATATTGAAATAAAATAAGATGACCTGTTTATAGGATGACACACTAAACTCCTTTGTCCATGCTGTTAATGGAGTTGTGAAACTCCCCCGCCCCCCAAGTTTTCAGTCCTCACAGAATGAGTGGTGTTGCTGCCTGCTTTTTTACTCAAGGCATGATTTCTCCCCCGGCTACCAAACATGCTTGGTCTTAGTACCGTCTTGGCACCTGAATCGGAGATTTTGAAGCAGTCCCTGTGGGGGCTGCACATGCGTGGCACCAACCAGTGTGTGCCATACTGGTAGATACTGTGCATGCGTAGACCCAGTCCTCCAGTTCCTTCTCAACTGCCCGTGGCCTGAGACAGAGCTTCGCAGTTCTCTGCTTTACTCGACATTTCTCTAGGGGTTTTTAGTAGTTATTAACCAGCTATTGTTGTTGCTCTTAATTACTTAGTGATAGTTGTTAAATTGAAAAAAAAATATTTTTGGTCATGTCTGGTTCACCAGGCTTTAAATGCTCCTGCAAGGAGGAAATCCCCATTTCTGACAGACACTCACAATACATCAGGTGTTTAAGGGAACACTGTTCATCCCAAGATTGTCTGCACTGTGTCAAACTCAAGGCCAAGACATGCAGGTACAGCAGTCTCTGTTTGAAGCTGGTCCTTATAGAAAGAGTGAACACCCTGCCATGGACCCAGGAGAACAAACTGTGGAGGTACAATTGCCCCAGGTTTCCTGCAGGGCAAAAAGAGGCCAAAAAGGAGAAGTTCCTCGGTGCCTCATCATGAGTCCTCTTCCAAAAAAAGGTCTCTATCCAGACCATCGACACAGAGGTCACCTGTCAGTACTTGCGATGCTCCGGGTAACTTAGGCATTGTGTTGCTGCAGCTGCTTCCACCTACAAAGGGTCCAAGCAGTGCCCAAAAGCTGCACCGGTACCTGTTAACGGTGCTGACAACTACAGCGGCACCACCATGTACACCATCGGCACTGCCATTGCTGTTGCACCATCACCGCATTCTGCACCATCAGCTATTTCTGCACCGACACTGCCTGCTTGAACTTCGGTCCACTGGCACTGACCAGATTAGTGGTACCAACCATATACTCGGTACTTCCAGACTAGTGCATTAGGCAATGCAATATGGGAAGGAGGTGGACAGCCGTTGGTGGAGAAAGAACAGGTTAGGAACTGTTTAGAAAAGCTAAACATACACAAATCCATGGGTCCGGATTTAATGCATCTGAGGATACTGAAGGAGTTGGCAAATGTCATTGCAGAGCCATTGGCCCTTATTTTTGAAAACCTGTGGAGATCGGGAGAGATCCCGGATGACTGGAAAAAGGCAAATGTAGTGCCCATCTTTAAAAAAGTGAAGGAGGACAGTCCAGGGAACTACAGGCCAGTCAGGCTTACCTCAGTCCCCGGAAAACCACGGAGGGGATCCTCAAGGAATCCATTTTGAAGCACTTGGAAGAGGGGAAAGTGATCAGGAATAGTCAACATGGATTCACCAAGGGCAAGTCATGCCTGACCAATTTGATTGGCTTCTATGATGAGATAACTGGCTCTGTAGATATGGGAAAGTCAGTGGATGTGATATACCTTGACTTTAGCAAAGCTTTTGATATAGTCTTCCACAATATTCTTTCCAACAAGTTAAGGAAGTATGGATTGGATAAATGGACTGTAAGATGGATAGAAAGTTGGCTAGACTGTTGGGCCCAACGGGTAGTGATCAATGGCTGGATGTCAGGTTGGCGGTCGGTTTCTAGCGGAGTGCCCCAAGGATCGGTTCTAGGGCAGGTTTTGTTCAACATCTTTATTAATGACCTGGATGAGTGGACAGATTGCACCCTCAGCACGTTTGCGGATGACACTAAGCTAGGGAGAGAGGTAGATATACTGGAGGGCAGGGATAGGATCCAGAGTGACCTAGACAGATTAGAGGATTGGGCCAAAAGACATCTGATGAGGTTCAACAAGGACAAGTATAGAGTCCTGAACTTGGAACGGAAGAATCCCAAGCATTGTTACAGGCTGGGGACTGACTGGCTAAGTAGCTGTTCTGCAGAAAAGGACCTGGGGATTACAGTGGATGAGAAGCTGGATATGAGTCAACAGTGTGCCCTTGTAGCCAAGAAGGCTAACGGCATATTAGGTTGCATTAAGAGGAGCATTGCCAGCAGATCCAGAGAAGTGATTATTCCTCTTGATTTGGCTCTGGTGTCTGGAATATTGTGTCCAGTTCTGGGCCCCCCACTATAGAAAGGATGTGAATGCATTGGAGAGGGCCCAGCAAAAAGCGACCAAAATGATTAGGGGGTTGGAGCACATGACCTATGAGGAGAAGCTGAGGGATTTGGGTTTGTTTAGTCTGCAGAAAAGAAGAGTGGTAGTGATAGTGGTTGGTGGGGGGGGGATAGGGAAAGGGGGTGATTTGATAGCAGCCTTCAGCTTCCTGAAGGGGAGGTTCCAAAGAGTTTGGAGGAAGGTTGTTCACAGTAGTGATGGATGGCAGAACAAGGAGCAATGGTCTCAAGTTACAGTGGGGGGAGGTCTAGGTTGGATATTAGGAAAAACTATTTCACTAGGAGAGTGAAGTACTGGAATGGGTTACCTAGGGAAGTGGTGGAATCTCCATCCCTAGAGGTTTTTAAATTTCAGCTTGACAAAGCCCTGGCTGGGTTGATTTAGTTGGGATTGGTACTGCCATGGGCAGGGGGCTGGACTTGATGACCTCCTGAGGTCTCTTCCAGATCTATGATTCTATGACCGTACCAGCAGTTGTTACCATCTGCACTGACCATTCTGTTGACGTTGTATAGATTGGCATTGCAGACTCCGGCACCAATCCTTGCGGCACCATTGTTGTATATGCAAAATGCTAATCTTGTGATTATGTCTATGGCTCAGCTCCCACTGATGACACTTCATGTGCTGTCTCCAGTGCCATTGTGATTTTCCAGCAATGAAGATAACAGTGTGCAGGCTTCCTTCTCTCTGCACTGTAGTCCTCCAATACAATATAAGCTGCTATGACCAATGGGCTGCTTCACCATGGTGTGGCCGCCACTGGATGCCTCCTCTGGTCCTGCATCCTGCACAATGACCTTACAGGAGACACCACAGTGTGTAGCTTAGACCCTACAAACAAATTAGTTTTTATACGCCATGCAGAACAGCACAGGGGAAGAGGCTTCTATTCCCATTACTTTCTAACTCAAGTCAGGAGGCTGGAGACCAATTCTAGATTTGTGCAATCTGAACAAATTCATCATGATGCAACACTTTTGCAGGGTTACTTTATCTACCATCATCCCAGCATTGCAACAACTGGACTGGTTTTCAGCCGTCAACCTCCAGGGCGTTTATTTTCGTGTTCTAGTACATCCTGCTGTGGCTGGGCGAGCCAGCCCTGCATTGAACTCACAGGGTATAGCTAGGTTACCCTGGCTAAAGGAGCCCTGCCCCCACAACCCTGCTGGGCATGCTCAATTTGTAGCCCAGGTGTAAAACCCTGGGGAGAAGCTCAGTCTGGGCTGACTGCTGGAGGGGAAGGACTTCAGAAGGGAGCTCCTGACCAGCACCAGCTAGCTGCCCAGAGGGTAGACAGTGGAGACTCTAGTGCCAGTTGGGACTTCTCCCGGCTGTCTACAAGGGAGAAGCAGCCCTCTGGGAATTAGAGGCCCCTGCGAACATGTGGGAAGATACCCCGCCAGACCAGGTAGGAAGTGGCCCAGAGAGGGTGCAGGAGCAGTCTCTCTCGCCCCAGAATACTCAGCGCATTTTGGATGGATTCCCCACCGAGGGAGCGGTGGGTCATCCTGCCCCATTTTCTATGGGGAGGCTCCCTCCCTGCTTAAAAGGCTGGCGGGTTATTTCAGCTTGTGGTGAAGTACGTTGGGGAGGGCTGTAGACCCCGATAAATTCAGGCCTTGGGTTTCTACCCCCCGCAGGAGGGGGGAGGAAAGACATACCTGCGACATCTGCTCACAGGGGATTCCTAAGATTCACGGTAGGCCCAGACCACTACCAATATCTGGTCCTACCTTTCGGCCTATCTGAGGCCCCTCGAATTTTCTCTGGGGTGTTTGCCATGGTCACTGCACATCTTCACTACATGGGAATAATCATACTCCCTTATCTCGACAACTGTCTTCTCAAGGCCACATCTCAGACAGAATCTGCATACTTGATTGCAGTAACCATACAGTGCTTTCAAAAATTGGGCCTTTGAATAAACTAGAAAGTTACCTCTTCACCCTTCCTAGATGATACAATTCATCAGGGACTGCCTGGATTCCATGGCGGCACAAGCCTGCCTACTTCACAGAAGAGTCCTCACCATTCAAACGCTGGCCACAACAGTTTATTTTTCTGCACAAACTACAGCTAAGGACTGCCTACAACTTCTTGGCCTCATGGCAGCTACGACCTTCGTGGTATCTCACACCCAACTCCGCGTGCACTGGCTGCCTTCTTCTGAAAGAGAGAATCCACACTGCCAAAGTGCATCGAAAAAGCGATCTATTTTTTTCGACAGATAGCGTCCACACATCAGATGTTATCTCTCATTTAAGCTGTGATTACTATGGATGGAGTGGCCATCAGAGCATCTGTGCTTTTTCCTCTTTCCTCCTCTTCTGAAAGAACTCCCTCTTCCCCATCCACACATGCCTTTTTCTGAAAGAGCTCTTTCGGAAAAAGGCTTCTTCCTTGTAGAAAGAGGATGACCAATGCTGGAAAAC